CCGGCCGGTGCCTCCCCGCCCTCGCCCGCCTCCTCTGGTGGGTGGAGCAGCCGGGCGGCTCGGGGGCGGCAGGAGTGAGCGGTAAAGGAGGGGATAGGAGAGACTCAGAGCTAGGAGATCTCTTCGTGTAAGGTTGCCAGGAGAGCTTGCTTTTATGTTGACTGTTAGCAATAGCAGAAAAAATCAGTCCTACTGTACTGCGGGGTACGGAACTGCTCACATTTTCTGAAGGAAGCAGTTGCTCAAGCAAGTCAAAAAACAGAGGTTTTGGGTCCCGTCTGTAAGAATTTCCCTTTATAAGTCATTCTCACCTTTATTTTGTAGGCTACCAGGTGACCGGCGTCTTTATGAAGAACTGGGACCCTCTGGATGAAGAAGGATCTTGCTCCATTGACAGAGACTGCGAAGATGCTTACCGCGTTTGTCAGAAGCTTGATATTCCTTTTCACCAGGTTTCCTACGTAAAAGAGTACTGGAATGAAGTATTCAGGTACAAACACGTTTGAAATAGATGGTCTTTCATTATATTGGTGTAGTACCATGTTACTGTCAGAAGTAAGGATGGATAGATAACAGGCGATAGCAATTTATTGCAGTATTTTCAGTGCTAAGAGAAAGTGCTGGAGCCTGTTAAATATCAGAGGAATTATTTTTTCTTCATACTTAAGATCAGTATTTATATGTTGATTTTAATGTTTGTTATTTTTAAAACTAACAGATTTCTCCCTGCTTATTATGAGTGTATTTCAGTTGCTTTGTTGTGGCTCATTTCTTCTACTTCCCACATACTAGCCAAACCTTATTGTGACTTGAGAAAAAAGTATTTAATGGGGTACTGTTATTGTCTTTGTGTGTAATCTATACAGTACATTTCACATTAATATATACTGAATCCAGTTTACCACAAAGTGATCATGAACCAGCTTTGCTTCTTTAAACTTCTAACAGATTTGAAACTGTTCTCTAAAGAGGGTATTCAGATTTTCTGTGAATTTATTCCACTTTAAGAAAGAAAGTTCTACGTAGGAAAAAGTTGAGAGGTTTTCTCGGAAGGAGAAGTATTGGTATAACAACATAATTTATCTTTTATGCACTCAACATAAGTACGTAAAAGTTGTTATCTGATCTTCTTCATCCCTCGTTAAGTAGTGCTATTGTTACCTTGTCTTAGAAGAAACAGGAATAACTTAGTCATGCTACTTCTACATCATGTTGAAATTACATCATGTTGAGCACTAAACTTTCATACAGTTGGTGAACAGACCTGTTCTGGGGAAGTTCACTCCATTTTTCCCTCCTGGTGTAAGAGAATGAATAAATGTTACCAAAACTCTTGAAGGATGTGGGGTGTCTGTAATTGACAGTGAATCAAAGATCATAGAAGATCAGCTTTTCTTTTGCTTCTCATAACTTATTAGTAGAGTGTTCCCAAACAATCAGTTGCAAGTGTCTTGGTTTGTTTCAGAATCCTTTTTTCTTTAATGTCATAACTTACCTTGAATTTACTTCTCCTTTGGATCTCTCTTTAGAGAGTTATCAAAAAACACCTTTTATCAAGAGAACTATTCTGGATCTTGTCTTTCCCATGGTTTGTGGAAAGTCTGTTCCAGATCTTTACATCAATGAAAGATTCAGTAGTCGTCCTTTGATGCCTTTTCTCTGGTTCTGTACTTCATTTGAAGTGGCTTTATGCTGTGTCTTTTATAAAGCTTCCAGTTTACTCTTGCAGTATTTACAAAGGAGTATTGTGTTACGTAAGAGTACAGTGTTGAGCCAGCATGAGGGAGGCAGCTCAGGGTGATTTAATTATTAGTATAAACTCTTGAATTCAGAACTGTTTAAAAGGAGTTAGACAAAATAAGAGGTATGTTGCCTGATTTTCTAGTTATGAATGAGGTGTACAACACAGTACAGAAGAAGCAATTGATTCTGTTTCAGATGGTGAAAAGTAAAACCAAATACTAGGGATGCTGGGGTTCCTTTATATCCAGTCTGTGCCCTCAGTTCCTCTTGACTTCAGTAACTACTGATGACATGCAGAATAATGCAGTGAGCAGGCCTTTTGATATCAGTGCCTTGCTGTATGCTGATTTGATTTTATTTGTTACTGTATTAGTGTTTTCAAGCAACTAATGCAAAGCACTTTAATGACATGACAGTGTAAAACTGCACCATGACTTTGAAAAACTGCTTGAATTTCTTGAAGGAAAAAAAAGATAGGAGAAGGTCCCTATGAAATTAAGGCACATGACTACTTATGCTGGCATTATTGCAGGTTAAGGTATTGTGCATTCAGCTGGAACACGGTAACTTCTGGTGTGTACTCCACAGCACTGTCACTTTGAAAAATTAAACAGAGTTGTTTAATTCTGAAAGTAAGTATTTTGTAAGAGATGAGTAGGATGTGCACAGTGGGCAGCCATGTCTCCCCTGAGGGAGTATTAGTTTTAATTTAATAAAACATGGTTACTAGATTGTGAGTGATCATTTGACAATGTCCTCAGTGCACTTTGGAGTAAACTATTGGTTTTTAGCAGTTAAAATCTAATGGATATTTTATTTCTTATCTAAAATGCTTAGTATGACTGCGTCTCAAGTCCTCATGCTTGAACAGATTGTTCGGTCTTGGATAGTATTATGCAGGGTTAATAATGTTGATATACATTTGAATCTTTATTTTACAGTGACCTCTTAAAAGAGTATGAATTGGGAAGGACTCCTAATCCTGATATTGTGTGTAACAAGCACATCAAATTCAACTACTTTCTTCATTATGCTATGGATAACCTTGGTAAGGCATTTTCAAGTGTGTCAGTACAGAGTGTGTGCCGTGGAAATGGTTAAAGGATACAAACTCTTGAAAAGGTGGGGAAAATCATGAGTTCATATGCATACCTAATTCACGTATCTCTGTGGCAGTATTTAATATTTGCAAAGTATGTGGTTTGAAGTTTGCTTTTGCATATAGAATCATAGAATGGTTCAGGTTGGAAAGGACCTTTAAAAGTCATCTAGTCCAACCCCCCTGCTGTGGGCAGGGACATCTTCCACTAGGTTGGGTTGTTCATATATAACAACGGATTTAATTCAGGCACACACATTGACCTGACCATTCAGTTTTACATTCTTAGGTGGTCCTTAAAGTACAGAAGCACAAGTGCTGGCATGCTGATGAATAGTTTACATTATTTAAATAGCAGGAGTACGATTATTGCCAGTGTAAGTCTTCTATATAGATTTTCTTCATTGCTTTCTGCTTTTTTTACTGGCTGTATCTAATCCGATTTTAAACTGTGAATTTCAAGTATGTACCTTTGTGTTTTGTTTTCTTGATAGGGGCAGATGCAATTGCTACTGGGCATTATGCTAGGACCTCACTAGAGGATGAGGAAGTGTTTCAGCAGAAACATATTAAAAGACCACAAATGCTTTTCAGAAACCGTTTTGAAGTTAGAAATAGTAAGTGGTTTCTTCATTTCATATTTCATCCTAGACATGGAAGAGAAATATTTGGTGTCACAGAATCAGGGAAGTTTACCTTACAACACAGTGATCACCATTTAAACCCCAGCTTTTGTAGCAGGTTGATTGTGCAAAACAGGGGACTTGCATTACTGAAAATTACCCTGGGTTGTCAAGTATTACCTTTTCTATTTTAAGAATTCTAATCCAGATGCAGAGGGAAGAATAAGCATTTCAGTAGTAATCAACATTCTGAAGGAGCTGTAATGTGGATTAAGGAGACAGGTCTATTGTCTGTACCCTGGAGAATTATTTCAAGAAATCTTTATCAAGTATTTCCATGACTTATATAAAATTTTCTTTTTAAATGTTTCTTCTGTTTTAGGGAATGTATTTGGCTATTCAGTATATAGAATAGATAGAACTCACTGTGGGGATATGCTTAAGTGGAATTCTAGAATTAAGACTTTGAAAGATTAAACTTAATAACATACTTTTATACAGTAATTGGACTGTATATTATTTTACTGGAAAAAATCAGGTTCTCATTCAGTAATTCAACTGTTCTGCCTTATTTTTTGTTCTCCTATAGAAGCCTGGTTTTCCCAGGTAGATCAAGTTTCTGCCTACATTGCAATTGAAAAGTGCATGTGCAGCATGCACAGACGTTTTTAAGACTACAGTTCTTGGGTTAGCAAAGGTGCTAGTAGGCAGCAGTGCAGGATTTGCTCTTCACTTTAATAGTCTGCCTGTGGCTGTACATAATCAGAGGTTGATCTCAGCCCTTGTTATCGGTACAGCCTTGAAGCAGTTTGACGAATGCTGCTTTGGGTATGTCTCTGCATGGCACTATCATAGCTTGGATGGCAATGTAGAGATTTCTCAAATAACTCTGCAGTGGGTCATAATGCAGTAAAGTAACTCCGATGAAGCTCTGATGTATAATGAGAAGCATGCTATACCCCAAGGGAAAGAAATTTGCGAACTACCACTATGCAAAGCTGCCATGGTGATGTTTTTGTGTTACAGCTTCCCTGCTTTAACTTGTTTGTTCTGGACTTAAAGGGGTTTATTGATTTCTTTGTTTTAATTTTATTTCTGGAAAGTTGAAATGACCCCAGTGGTACCAACAGTCTATACTTGTGACAGACTGTGTTTCACAGTTGTAGTATTTTGTGATGTTCTAAACAGGCTCCCTGCCCTGTTACTAAGATTTCATAAGTTGTGATGGAACTATTGGCCTGTAGTTAGTGTTCGAGTCAAACATATAAGCAGAGTTAGTACAACAGCAGAGCTGTTAGCTCTTAAAGAGAGTGGACAGAACACGACTGAAGAACTATACCAATTTTATTTCATCTGGGCAATTATGAGACTTCATCAATTTTGAAGAAAAAAGTCAAACTCTAAGCATTGGGAATAACTGCTGATTGTTCAACTCATTGATTTGTAGCAGTGTTATTTCTGGGCAAAACAATGTCTTTTTGAAGGACAGTATACTCCAAGATATTTAAGTCTTTGTTCTCTCTTTCACATAAAATGTAAAAGTTGTTTTTGCTTTTCATATTGTTGATATTTTTGCCAGTGACACATGCAGCATTATAATAGTGAGGCAATGTAAGACTATCTAAGATTGTGTTGTACAAAATCAGAATCTTTCTAAATTGTTTTAGTGGTGAGAAAATAACCACATATTTTCAGTCAGATTCTGAAAAACCTGAAAAATACTGTCTTTAATACATATTTGGAAATAATAAAACTAAAATGTTGATTGTCAAACAAAATGCTAAATTAAGTTGAACTATTAAAGGGGGTTATGCTGAGATGCTTTATGTGTTCTGCACTTTACAGCTGTGAAACTCCTTCAAGGGGCTGACCTCTTTAAGGACCAGACCTTCTTCCTAAGCCAAATCTCGCAGGGTGCTCTGAGGAAAACCATTTTCCCTTTAGGGGATTTAACAAAAAGTTTTGTGAAGAAGATAGCAGCGGAACATGGCCTTCATCATGTCCTAAAGAAAAAAGAGGCATGGTAACACTTACACTTTTTTATTTTTGTTTGTTTCTGAAACAGACTTTTCTGAAGTTCTGAACTTTAGTCTGTGACAACTCATCTGTTTCTGAGCACTGTAATAGAATAGGTTGGAAAGCAGTTTTATAGCCAGCTGCTTGCATGAAAGTCCTTCTATGAGCATGTAGTTAGTTGTGTATTTTAGCCTGCACATAATTTGTCTACTGCTGTACCTCAAAAGAACTAAGGTGAATGTGAGTGAGTTAGGATGATGTAAGCCTTAAGGAATGCATTCTCTATCACAGCAGGTGAGAAGCCTTTGGTCTTTATTGAAGCTTTTAAAGGCTTCCTTACTATAATTGTTTTTCAGTATGTCTTGCTAGAAATCAGATCATACTGCTTTTCTGCAGTTAGGTTTTTTTTTTAAAAAAAAGAAAGTTCTGTTTCCCTGAGAACTGACACTTCATGAGTTATTTCTAAAAAAATGTGATGCAAGCAGCAATTGTATTGTTGATGCTGTCTTGATTGCTTTTAATTTTGTATTTGTCCACTGTAAATTGGTATTTGAAGAATGTAGGCAGTAACTGAAAGGAGAAGGAAAGCCTATTTGGTATTGAAAGTTTTCTCAATAGATATACCATTATTGTGTCATTTGTGTTAGTTTCGTACTTGAATCTGCAAGAGGCTTCTGTTTTCAATATACATACAATGTAGTCACCAAGGTTAATGTAGGTATTTATTCAACATGTGTTCTGTTTCCTGCTATTTTGCTTCTTTGCTGTGCTTATGGCTCTTGCTGATACTGTGTAGAATTAGTTTATGTTGGAGCAGATGTGGTTCTGTTTATTTTATGACATGTCTAGCATACTTTGGAATACATAGAGGGGGGAAGATCCATCTTGGAAGGATTATTGACATTATTTCAAATGTTTTTCTCTGCTTTTATGGATTCAATACCACGTTTCCTTTTCAGAGTATGGGAGTCTGTTTCATTGGTGAAAGAAACTTTGAAAATTTCCTTCTTGAGGTGAGCAACATTAAATCTATGACAGTCTTTATGTTCTGCTCTGGTTTTCAGTAGTCATTTATAACACTGTCCACAGAAAAACCTCCCAACGCCTTGTGGCCATCACTGAGCAGCAATGTCCCATCTCCCCTTGCAGTTCGAAGCCTACCCAGAAGCTAACACCAGGCTTGTAGGAAGTATCGTTCCCCTCCACCAGCAGTCAGTCAGTCACATTCTGTAGCAAAAGGAGTGCGTGAACTTGCATTTCTGTGCCTGCCAGGCTCTGACAGATGTTTGGGATGCAAGAGGCACGTGGCTAAATCTGTCTGTCCCCTGGCATAAGTGAGGATGGGGGGAGTAAAGCCCAGAATTAGTGCTGATGGGGACTGCCCTTCCTACTTCCTTCTCTCAAGCAGCCTTAGGGAAGAAGTAGAAAGCTCCTTGGGCAGCATTTGCTTCTTGAAAATTTGTTTTCCAACTTCAAGGGAATGTACTGACAGAACCTGAAATATACTGTGGGTTTTTGGGGGGCATTCTTGTGACTTAAACAATCTCTTCCTGTTTGGTAGTATTTAGAACCTCAACCAGGTAACTTTGTTTCCATTGAAGATAAGAAGGTGATGGGAACGCACAAAGGTAATGGGCTAATACACCTTAATAACTGCGTTTAGATAAATGGAACAATACTGCTTATATTAGGAGGGACAAATTTTGTGGAATTCCCAACCAGTCTACACATTTTGCCCAGTTTGATAACTCTAATAATCGTGGAAAACTTGCTTTATACAATAGTAGAGCCTTGAACTACAACTTATTCATGATTATTTGTTCCATGTTGCAAGAAAGTAAATGATAATTATTAGGGTTACTCTGTTAATTTAAGTGGTTGTTAATTTAATACTGAGAGACCATTGTTCATTTAATTAGATCAAAATGTCTGTGCTTCAGCTCCAGATTCTTTAGTACTTAAACTTTGCAGAAAAAATACACTGTGCACCTCAGTGATGCACAATAGGACATCCCCAAACATGGGCAGCTTACCTTTTCCTTTCCTTCGATGTGTCCTTCCTTTGCTCTCTGCAGTTCTAACTGCCAGAACTGAGTTCCTCTTTCCAAGTAATTTATGGAAGTGGGATTTTCTACTAGTACATAAAAGTAAAGGAAACTCGTAAGACTGACTGGTAGCAAAACCACAAATTGCGGCTGTATAAAGAAATGTTTGTCTTTTATAAACCCTAGGAATAGTGTAATTGATTAGTTTGAAATCACATGCTTCAGGTACAGATGAGAACTTTCAAGTAGGAGTTAGTTTAGTTTGTAATTGGCACACTTCTCCAAGACAGCTGGGTTTATTAGTCTTTGTTTAGTGGTAAAGTTTTGGGGAAATGACTTATAATATATTTTTCTGAAAGTAAAAGATTGAAAGTTGCTAGCAGCATTACATTTTTGTATTTCTTTAGCTTGGTTCCTCTACACAATAGGCCAGAGGGCAAGACTAGCAGGCCTGAAGGATGCTTGGTTTGTTGTAGACAAAGATGTCAGCACTGGAGATGTCTTTGTGGTGAGTTAATTAACACTGGTATTGCAAATGACTAGTGCAAGCATTTTGTGACTCCTACTCTAGGAATGTGATTCTAACCTGAGTAGAATTCTTAGCTTTCCTCTTGGGGGAAACAAGAACCAACAGCATCAGCAGATTAGAAACAACTTGTCCAAAACATCTTTTCTTGAGTAGAAAATTGGTTTAGATTTTGGCATAGACCTTTTCCAAACAAAGGCCAAATACTGAAAAGAATTGGCCAATCTACTGAGCTCTTACTTTCTATGCTAAAACCTGAGGTTTTATTGTAGTTATTATGACACAGTATATAAAGTGTATATTATCTTGGTTTACTATTTCTAGTAAAAGAAGTAGTAGCCAGTAATACAGTTTCAATTTGAAAACAGAATCTATATAATACTGCAAATAATTAGTGTCTTAATGACTAGTCATATGAGATGACTGGGAGTTCTGCAGCTTGCTAGCATTGTTAATATTGCTTGCTGTTCATGCAGTTGTTACTCTTATTTGATACTGATGTGATTATAATGAGGTGTTCTTGTTGATGTTTCTGAGGGGGGAAGAATCATAATCAAATGAGAGTTGAGAGGAAACAGGTAGGACAACTAAGAAATTTTTTTTTTTATGCCCTACAGTAAGGTTGTGTGTATGCAACACCTTTGCTGGGGAGGTGTTGAGTTGAGAAATTGGAGAAGAGGGAGGTAGCATCTTGTTCAGGCTGAGTTTGGATATCTACTGCCCTCTGTATCCTACCTCAACAAGGCAGAAATACGCAAGAATACAGGAGGTGACATGACTGAGATGTAGAAGACAGACAAATAATTCAGGCTTGCTTTAGCTTATTTTTTGTATTAAAGACTTCCACCTGGAAACTGATTATGTGCTAATAAATGCTTGCTTTCTTACTCATTGTGATTTCATTTTAATATAGCTTCTTGCTGCTTCTATATTTCATGCTTTACAAATTATGCTGATGCTTTTGCTAGAGACCATATTAAGTAAATGTTGTATTTTAAGGCACCATCAACAGATCACCCTGCTCTGTACAGAGACCTATTGCGGACAAACCGAGTGCACTGGATAGCAGAGGAACCTCCTGCAGAGCTTGTTAGAGATAAAATGATGGAATGTCATTTCAGGTTTCGGCACCAGATGGCACTGGGTAATCAAACCTTGTTTTGTTTTTTGTTTTACTCAGGGTTTTGAAATTGTGGTAGAGTGCTCTGTGTAGTTTTGCAGAAATAGTTGATATGTTTTGGCTTGCCTTTCTGCTCTATGGTTTCTGGAGTGCCTTTATAAAACAATTCTGTTTAAAAGTATCTTGACTTACATCTCTTTAACTTAGTGATGAAGGTTGGGTTGTTTTAATGTGAATGTAAGGATTAACTGGCAGGTGTTTGGCCATTTTCTGCTCTAGTGCCGTGTGTGCTGACTCTAAACCAAGATGGGAGTGTGTGGGTGACGTTAGTGAAGCCAGCAAGAGCTATCACACCTGGGCAGGTAAGTGATTAGAAGTCATCTTCTTTCCTTTTTTGTGTTTTTGCTTATCTGGCTAATAAAACAGAGGAGTATTTTTATTAGTTGGAGTAAAGTAGTTTGTTTATTTGCATGTGAGAGCAGTTAGGTCTATTTTGACATCAGCTGCTTTGAAGGAGATTGTTTCTAGTTTTAAATGGTCTGTTATCCCTATATTTGAGAAACTGGCTTACAGGTTTTAGTGAAACATGAGAAATTCTCTGGTAATCGGTTGTATATGCAGAAATAGAATCTGTTGTCTTCAAGAAATGGGTTTAAGAAGGCATTAGTTTGGTAATTGGCTGCTTAATATGGTTTTAGTGTTCAACTTCATTTAGTGAGCTTCTGTGTCCAGTGAATTTCACTGTCCTGGAACAGTACTGAGAAGAGGTACTGTGTAGTCATGCCTTTTAACACTGCTAATACAAAGATACTCCATCACATTGTAAACCAGTGCTTCTCAAACATTTTCCGCATGCCCTCTCACAGCATTTGTTCTACCCTCCCTCTTGCTTCCCAAAACTTGAGGGCCCATGGAATGTATTAGGAGAGAAATTGTATGAGAACTATTTGTAATGGAGAGAGGCATACACTTAAGAGAAGTGAGCTGAGCTGAGAAGGCTCCAGACAGAGCTGATGATGGGCATGAGAAGCCCCTGACTGCCAGGAGCTGCTGAGCCTATAACTGGTCTCTTTACTGCAAGGTAATGAGACCAGACAGAGAGGTCTCTGTTCTTCCTCTCCTGCAAGAACATGCTGAGCATGTCAGAGAGCCCCAGTTGCTTCCTTCCATGTGGTCTGCTCCAGTAGTCCTTGATCCCATTCCTATTTTGAGAAGTCCCACTGTAGCCTGGGCACAGTTGTCTGAGGAAGGTCTAGTGAAGATACAGATGATGATACGTATGCCGTCCCCTTTGGGAAAGGACACTTTCCAGCCCAATTCATTCCACCTCAGTAACTGAAGAGTTTTGAGACAATCTTGCAGAAGTTTGATGGAATTTCTATCAACTCTCATGTGAGCCAACAAATCCTTTGCTTTTTATTTTTCCTTAAGATTTAATTAGAACAAATATAAATGAATACACCCACTCTCCAGCAGGTCTTGCACAGCCTGCAGTTGCTCACCATGTTGTTTGCAGCTGTTGAAAAGACTCTCCCTGTGTTTATCTCCTAGTTTGCAGTGTTCTACAAGGGTGATGAGTGCTTGGGCAGCGGGAAGATCATAAGGATAGGCCCATCGGTGTATACCATGCAGCAGGGCAAAAACCGAGAGGAAGGTCCAAAGAAGGAAGACAAAATAGAACCAGCAACGTAGCATATGGGTTTGTTTGTTGAAGAATTTTGGAGAATTTACTGTCTGAGAATAATAAAAACAATAATAAACATTTTTTTTGTTGATCTGTATGTTCTAAATGTCAGTTGACCATCAAGTCCCAGCTCTTGACTGTTAGCACTGAACAGGTTTAAAACTAAAGCCAGTTTGGTACAATTTTATTGGACTAGATGGTGATATTTATGTTAATATGTATCAAAGGATGTCTTAAAGTTGTTCTGTAATAGTAGTTACACATGCAAGAATTTTATTGTAAAAATCATGTCTGAAATCATAAATCTATCTTATGCATAAGTGAAATAATTCTTTCTCTTACTTAAAGATACCTATCCCTAGGTAAAGCATGTATGTTGTTTTACAGTAAATGTATGTTTGTGCTTTGAACTCTGGAAAAGGAATGAATGATATTTAAGGTCAGTATTTTGAATGAACTCCCAGTAGCAGATATTTATTTTTCATTTTATATAGCTTTATAAGAGATGCTTTGGATTCTTAAGATGTATTAAGTAGTGGGTTTAGATGTTTACATAATTCAGAATTAAAAATCCAGGGGTTTAAAAATAGTCTGGATCATGAATTTTTTGACACAACTGACTAATTTTGTGTTAAGTGCTGAGGGCAGAGGCTGTTTGGTTTGTCTCCTGGAGAAGGGAATGCATTGTTATGCTTCAGAAAAATGCAAATTCATATGCATTTCCTTATTATGTAGCTAACTTAATATAGACCTGATAATAACTGGATCTTGTCATGTGTCAAAATAGAGTGGTATTAGGAAGAGTTGAATACCCCTGTCCAAATTGCCTACATTTATAAGGATCGGGTGCGCACTGAGGACACCCTAAGCTTATAATAAAACTTTATTACTACAAGTCAACAAAAATGAATTTGTGTCTTTCAGCATGGTAGTAGAAGGTAATTGTCCCTGAAGTACAGCTGTGCAGGAGCAGGACTTTACAGATGGGTGTAGAATTTTGAGATTTGCATCCAATTTGGGTGGTAGGAAAGTAGTACCATGAATAGATCTTTTCAGCAGATCTGAAGGCTTAGATTACATGTATATAATTTTCTGTTGTCTTAGTATCTTCTAATAATTCCTTTTACTTCTTCTGGTAAGAAAAGTAAAAGGTAGTCTCTTTTCTTCAAAGTGTGGAAGTAGAAGGGGCAGAAGACACTCTTCAGTGCCTATCTGGAGCCCTATGGAAAAAAGCTAGACTTAAAATCTCACCCATTTGTTTGACATTACAGTAGATCTGCTTGAGAGGGGAGCAAAGCCATCCTTTATTACTGGTGCCAAAATCAAGTCAATTTAGAAGTGTCTTCAGAATGTCTACTCGTGCTCAGGTTAACCATAAAGACTACTCATGCTTCATGTCAGCTCCTGATATATGTTAGGTTAGTTGTGTTATGGATCCTGGTCATGACATCTATGTGTTTTTCCTAATGTTTTCCTTATCTTTGCAAAATGTGGAATTAATTACTAAGTAATTAATGTTCCACATTTTCCTCATCTGAGTTTTCCAGTAAATGTCCCAATTAAAATCTTCACAAATATTTTGTGTTACACTGGTGTAATTTTTTTTTATTAGTTCATCTCTTGCCACTGTCAGATATGTTTGTTGTTTGATACTGTACTGGTAGAGGTAGGTTCAACTGTGAGGATATGAAAAAGGACATAACTTTTTCTGCGTCTTCAAAATTCACTTTCTTGTAAAATTTACGGAATTGCAGAGGTTGATCTCTGGAGATCATTCAGTCCTCGACTCCAGTGCTTACAGCAGGGGCAACTAGAGCAGATTGCTCAGGACTGTGTTGTCAGATTTTGAGTATCTCCAAGAATGGAGACTCCACAACCTGCATTGATAAGATCTCCCTGAGCGTTTTCTTTTCAAGGCTGAACAGCCCCAGCTCTCTCAACTTTATCTTGTATGACAGATGCTCAATCCTCGCTCATCAGCTCCTCCATACCTGTGTCAGGAAGTTACCACTGCTCCAGAGACCTCCTGGACTGCTTGTGCCCGTGTGTTGTCCCTCTGGCAGGTTGAGTCCTCCACTGGGAGCAGGGTCTGCAACTATGAGGCTTCTTCCCGTTGTCTTTCTTCCTGGTCACTCGGGCTGTAGCAGACACCCCCAGCAATGCCATCCACATGGTTTGCTTGATGCAGGTGCTCTCAGCTGGCTCACTGTCCACCCCCAGCCAGAGCTCTGTGCTGTCCTGCTGCTCCCTCACAGCCAGGATGACCCGTGCCTGCCCCGTCCTCCCCGGAGAGCCTGAGCCCATGCGAGCCGCACTTTGCTGGTGTGAGTTGTCTCATCCTGTCTTTGTGATTCCCAATGAGATTGACCCTGCAACTGCCTGCAACACAGACCTCTAATTCCTGTTGTGTGTTCCCCATGCTGCATGTATAGTGTGCAGGCGCTTCAGAGGGGCGCCTAGAGAGGTTCCCCCCTGCCTGTTTTGTTGTTTTCAAGGTCTCTCCTGCCTGGATCACCCCTGCTGCCTTTAGCTTGTCAACCCCGTCCACCACTGGGTCTTCCCATGACATCCTGGCTCCAAATGCCTAGTGAACAGCAAACCTCCCTAGGCGCCAGGTTGGGTCAGCAGCTGGAGCTTCTGTCCCCTCTGGCAGGTTGTGTCTGGCTGCTGTCACACTATCTGTCCCGCCTTTGGTACTGTGGCAGGCTTGGGCTCTCAAGGCTGCAGGGTTTCAGGGATGATCCAGTTAATCTCTCCCTCATCGCCTCTGATATGGTCCAGTCTGCTGGCCTCCTGCCGTGGCTCCTGGTGACACAGACCTCCACCAGTGCTCACCTTCTGGAGGCAAGGAGCCCAGCTCTGCTCGTCCTGGGGGGCTGCACCCTCCCCGAGGAGCTTGGTCTAAGTTAAAGTCACTCTTAACACTTCCTCCTTTGACAAAAGAGTGTTACTGGCATTTAAAGTCCTAAAGTTGCTGAGTTGTGGTTGCCACCCCCTAGAAATCAAAGTCAGATCTTTAGAGTTGATACGTGACTGCAGAACCAGTGATATCCCAGCTGGTAATTTTCTTTAGCTTAAGGCTCTGTTAGACACTAGTGGTTTCCAACCATTAACGTTTCTCTTGTATAATGAGTCCTTACCTCCTTTTTACTTTTATGTTTCTACCAGGCATTATTTACTTTCCTATGTGCCCCCAAGGATTTAAATATGTGCATTCTTTTGGCTTGACAACTCCGAAGTTTAGCTATATATGGCTGTTTGTGACTTCTGGACTTATTAATGCGTTCACAAGGTAAGTTCTCAGAGCTTCCTAAAAATGTGTGCTTCTGGGCCTGCCCAAACCCACTGAAATCACATCAGCCTGAGGCTGAACTCTGCTTGGAGCTCAGGATGAAGGAACTAAGATCCATGCAACTTCTCATTGTCCTGGTTTTAAACTCACTTGCCTTTATGCAGTCTTTTGAATCTACTCCAAAAAATGTTTCTACGCAAAAAGTCTGCTTGCTAAATTTGAGTTGGCTTTGCAAATACTTTAAGAACAACAAAAATATCCCACAATAATTTTGATAAATTTGCTCTTTTTTTTCAAGAAAATCTTCATCCTGCCCTGTAGGCTTAGTAGTTACTTGTGGTTTTCTGGGTGTGAGCATTGCTTCAGTGATGGGTGTAACTGCTGGGTGGTTTTGGCTCTGCTTTAGTTCTTGGGTAAAGTGTTACTGGCTATGAGTACAGTGAGAAAGCACCAGGGGATGCTCATCCAAGCAGGGGATGTGTGTCCCTGCAGCCTGAATGTATTTCCTTAACCTTTGAAAAGAAAAGGACTTTTTTTACTCTCCTTCAGTTTTTGGTGTTTTGGGGTTTGGTGGGTTTTTTTTGGTTGGGTTTTTTTTTGTGTGTGTGGTTTTTTGTTTGGTTGGTTGTTTTTTGTTTGGTTTTATCTCTTATCAAGTTTTTGTAAATCCCATTCTGAGGACAGATTCTCTCAGTGCATTATCCCTGGGAAGGCTTTGCTGCTGGATTGCTGGTATGATTCCAGGAGCATCCTGAGCTCAGGTGACTTGAGGTGCTCGCTTGGATAAGAGACAGTCAGTGCAGAAGTCATTAGTGCTTTTAAGATCATTATCGTGAATTTAGGAGTGCTGGCTATGAGATCCCAGTCTTGCTGAGAGCCACTTTCCTGATAGTAAGAAAGTTTAGCCAATGCTGCTTGTAACATAACTGACACAGGGCACAAGGAGTGTCTGCTACAGCTCCTGTAGGACAGTCTTTTTAACAAATGCTCTGCTTCCCTCTTATTCTTTAAGCATCCTTAAAATTGGATACAGTAGCAATCCAGGATGGCTAGTGCAGAAAATTCATTAAGCTAACATGCTGTTCTTCAGTGGAAATCTCTCTAGCAATGGTCTCAATTCACTTAGAAACTGATTTTATCATTAGAGCTGAACCTCCTGGTTCTACTGAAGAAAACTCATCTGAGGAAGAAGTGAGTGTGGACTGTGTTTGGTTAGTAGAGACTCATTGTCTGAGAAGGATGGAGGCTGCTTCTTGGCTTCAGTGCAGCTCAGTCCTTTGGTGGGATGATGAGCAAAGACCTTTGACATCATAAAGCAATTGTTGCTCTTGCTCCTAGTGAATCTCACCATGCTGCTGAGAGCTAGGATTTAGTAGGCATTTGTGAAATTCAAACTGCAAAAAGCTTCTTGCATAGGATATTTTACAAGAGATTGCACATTTCTAGCAACGTGAAGCTTGCATGTTTAATACAGCATTTCCAAATAGCTTGTACTGTTCAGAGGGGGTGGTACATTTCTCTTTCCATTCCATATGTTTCTCCTGGGTAAGGCAAGGGTCTTAACTACTGACTTCCTGCATGAGATCCTTACTCCTCTCATATGTAGGGTCACTGGTAAGGGGAGTTTTATCCTGTCATGCACAGGGACACAACTTCTCAGAGGAGTCTGGCAGAGCAGCCTATAGAGGCACTTTTCTACCACTGGATCTGGCTGTTACATACAAGATGAGCAGCACCATCACCATGTCTCACTGTGTTTGTAAAGAGGACAGAGGTTTCAGGAACACCAGTCCTACCTGGCTGGTGTGCAGTAGGGTTATGTTGAGAAGCACTGCCTGAGTACCACGCTTCAGCCTGCTCTGAGGCTTCCAGCCCAACCCAGATCATCACAAAATGGTTGTGAAAGCACATAGTGGCACAGCTGTAATAGCTTGAAAACATGCAAGCAAGAGTGAGGTGAGAGCAGAGGTCCGTGCCTGGAGTCAGGCAGCTGCTTTCCCTGCTAGAGACCATCACTGACAGCCCCTCTCATGCAGCCTTTGCCAAGGCTGGAGTTTGTCCAAGGTTTGGCTTGAATTGGGTAAGAGCAGGCTGACAGGTGATTTTTTTTTTTTTTTTTCCTCTACTGCAGAAGATTAGCATTGACATGCTTTTTAAAATTAATTGGCTTTTCACGTTTTTTGTAATTTTTCTCCCACTTTGGGAAACAGATTGCAAACAGGTGATTTAACTTTCAAGTTGTCATTAAGCTTTTCAAGTCTTGAAATATTTGGTTTCGAAGACTCAGTGAATAACTTAAAAAAAGAGACGACTTTCCCTTCTAAAGTAGAGAACATGATAACAAGAATTGGATCATGTAACAGAAAAACCACAGCTCACTAAAGGCTGGGACTGATTTGAAATTTCTGCTGTAACCTGTGAATATGTTTGAAACTTTTGTTGCTGAGTGTATAAAGGCTGAAGAATTGCACTCCAAGTGCAGCCTTATTCGAAAAGTGTTTGTGTGAAACCTGTTTTAATTGCTCTCCTGGTTTTGTTCCAGCTGGTCCTGCAGAGCTGAGGGGCAGGGATGTCCCCTATGGAGGGAGAGCAGGGTTGTCCTCTGATTCTTTTTTCACCTGTATAGCTTCTTTGGAGAGGTGAGACGTCACACAGGTATTGCGAAGGGCTTTATTCACACTGCAGTGGTTCAGTCCGGCATTAAAGCATTGGCTCTTAGTGTTCGTGTTGGCTTGTAGGGCTGAAAGAACCTTTCATCCTCATGGCTTCAAAATTAAGTGTTCATGTGCTTTCTCTCTGTAGCTGCAAACCATGGGGAATAAAGCTGACATGTTCTTTTCACAAAGC